CCGCATTTGTTTTTTTTCCTTTATATTAAAATGGAGAAGTGAAGCGAATTTGTAATTGTCGGGAAAATTATTCGGAGCTCAGTTGGCTCTCGGAAATTATTTACTTTCGTTAGAATTTATTTTATTTGCCATAATTCTTTCCCCTATTCCTGGTTTAGCCGAGTATGAGCGAAACAATCCCTTCTTTTGCAAGCTTTGATATCTCCGTCGCCTGATTCTACTGGCTGTACTGTATATTACTAACCCGAGTCGCGTAGTTGTCATGATTCACGTTTAGTAAGCCGAGACTGGAGAGTGGCGACATTTTTACACGGTGTTCCAAAACTCAATGTTCAAACTTTAACCCAAAGTTGGGGATGGAATTCTGATCGAAAAGTTGTTCACGACATATAGATAACACAAGGCTATAGACAGCTTTTTTCTGCAAATTCCTTTACGAATATCAATCAACACACGCTGAAGTGGAACGCTGCCCCGTCTTTCATATGCTGACGAACAAGAATCTTTCAAGAGATTTCTTGGATGCCAAAGAGACCTCCCAAGCGTTGGCAAATGAAGTTGCCCCTGATATTCTCACTGTTGTATGGAAGAAGAACATAGTAGAGGGGAAGTTTCTGATATTCACCAAGAAATACAAATGTATAAATCCGGAGCCACTGAGATTAGCGGGTGCAGAGATTGCCTATACTACCTCAGTGAGGTACCTGGGTGTTCAACTGGACGGCACGGTCCACTGGAGGGAGCACATAGAGAGACAGATGGGCAAGACGTATGCCTCACTGTGGGCATGTAGAAGAGTCATGGGCAGAGGCCGGGGCTTTAGCCTAAAAATCATTTTATGACTCTAGAAGATGGTTGTGCTGTCGCGGCTGATGTACGTCTGATGGTCCAGCACGAAGAGGGTGAAGATAAAGAACCGGCTCAAATGCCTGGAAATTGCCCTGTGCCTGCCTCCACTTCATCATCTTGTGGTGAGTAAGGCAGAATCAGCAGCTTATACACGCCTGTGCCAGGGGGAATGGATGCAAGCGGAAGCGGCACACGCCAAGCTTGACATATTCAAGAGAAATCACTGGAACATGAGTCAGGATAAAATGACTAGGAAGTACCAAATCAGGAAGGCCTTTAAAACCTACATCCCTGAAGGGGAAAACTGAGAAACTGTGGAGAAAACAGGCACCAATGTCATGCACTGGTATACAGATGGCTCAGGATGCAGAGGATGCTTTGGAGCAGAACGTCATTTGATCAACCCACTAGTTGCCGCTTTGAGGAACCATTGTTCAATTTGGCAAGATGGTATAGTCATGGTCTGATGACATGATGTGCCGGAGACATATGAGTTTGGCTGAAATTTGGCGACATCCAATCTTTCGTGTCAGATTAGTGAAATTAATTTATCCCCCAATGCTTCTCAGGCAATGAATGTGCAACGTGCTTCCCGAATTTTCGGGCACCGCTATACACAAGCCATCAAATTATGGGATAATTCTTTGGAAGATTCTTCGAGATGCAACGGGGCATCAGATACTTGGGAAAACAGCAACGCATTTGCAAAGAAAATGAATGATATTATATATGCATGCAATTCTGCAGGTGAACTCGATACCAATATCCAATAGAAGATCTTTGTCTTCCGACAATCCTCAAATGGAGGAGCTCATTGTGGATTTTGGTCCAGTGGAGCCAGACATGGAGAATTAAGCAGAAGTCGAGCTTTACACTTCTACCCTGCTTCCCAGGATTGCCGCTGACTGAAAATGTTCATCTTAAGGTGCACAAAACACTTTCCCTGAAATATCCAAATTTCAAATTTATAACTTCCGGCCGGAATTAAGACGGCCTTGAACACAAGACATGTTCTTTCCATGGGCTGCATATGCATTGTTGAAAACAGGCATGTTTTATCTGACGATAATAATTTTCTTGTGGCGGTGAAGTCATCTTCCATTTCTTCAGCGTTTGATAATCCGTCATCATCAATGAGTGCTCTTAGTGAGATAAATTCTGACGAAACTCGTGATGAAGGGGATACGTCTGAGGCTGTGAACATTATTTATGAACTCGGTGCCCGCGAGGGGTTATTCTGTGATAGCTGTTATGATCATCAACTGGCAGCTCTGAGCTTTCTCAGAAGGTTAAACTGTTCTCAAAAACCAAATTCGACACTTGGGCAGCGCAAAAAAAAACCCAAAGCTTCATTCGGGACCGGAAGCTCCTGAAAGTAACTTATCAGTGATAACACGTATTTCACTTTTATTTTTCTTCAATGGAATGTCGTGCGATGTACAGGTAAATGAGAACCAGTTCGTAATTGCATGAATTAGTGCGAGAGAAAAGTCGCGAACTGATTCAGATATTCTTAATGGATTCTGCCCGGCGCAGCTTCAGTTTCACTTGCTTTCTATTATGGGCTTAATCGGAAATCAAATAGAATTGGGCGTTATTCCTCATGTTAATGGAGTACTGGCGATTCCTGCAAAGTTTCGACCAGTAAATCCACAATCTTTTTCCTCGTTTTCGGAGTCGTGGTCAATAGAGGAGTAATGCGGGTTCTGGCCCAACGATTTTGGATTCATAAGGGCGTATGATGGCTAGTGGGGGGGTCATGTGAAAGTGGGTGGGTGGGTGGTGTTTTAATTCGCGGTTTGATTAATTAATTAATCGATTGATTGATTTCGTTGATTGACAGGTAAAATTCTATTGTTTACCTGGTGAATGAGTGTAGTGTAGGGTGTGGGAATGGGTGATTTAGTGAAAGGGTAATGAATTGAATGGGGTGGTGAACAATAGGTGGGTGGAATCGCGGGTTAATCCGCGGACGTGCGATTTTAATTCGCGGTTTTAATTCGCGGTTTAAATTCGCGGTGTCATTAATGAATCATCGGATCATTCATTAATTGACGGTTGGATTAATTCGTTGATTGGCAGGTGAGAATCAGTTGTTTACCTGAAGACTGGGTGGATGGGTGGGCGGTTGACATTGACCCCCCTCCCTTGCCCCTCAAACAGCGTGTTGGGTCCTGCATGGGCCGCCTGACCCCACTTGACATTTACCCCCCTCCCCCGCCACCCCAAAAAGCGTGTTGGGACCACCTGACCCCACTTGAGACTTCAAACATGCCGCTTCCAATGATAAAAACCACATGGCTCGTGGGAATTGGAATAACCACAGATGCACTTATTTGTTTATATCAGTCAAACTGTTGGTTTGATATGTGGTTTTCAAAACATGCTAGGACTTGTAAACACTTGATGTTTTTCCCAAGTGCGGCGGAATCAGATTTCAAACATGCCGCTTCCCATGATATTAACCTTAAATGCTGGACCACTTGACCCCACTTGACATTTACCCCCTCCCCCGCCCCGCCAAAAAGCGTGTTGGGACCAGCCTGGGCCACCTGACCCCACCATGGCTCGTGGGAATTGAAATAATCCAAACTTTTTTTAGCTCAAACATGTTAGAACTTGTATGTTCATAATATATCACGTTATCTTTATTATCCTTACTAATACTATTCCCCCGGCTCATCATTATAAATAATAACATATACGTATCATTGTTATGATCAATTATTAGAGATACAGTGGGGGTTGCGTGTATATAATCCTCTAAAATTCGATCGTCATCATCACTTAATCAACGGTTCTCAGTGAATAACCATAAGTGTAGGAAAGTTTGAAGTTGCTTCTAAGCTGTATCCCTAAAAGTAAAAAAGTAAGGAGTTACGTCATCGTTCTTCATTCTCGACCTGATTAAGGAGAAAACATCATGGATTTTGTCAAGATCAACGCTGTGGGAGAACTGAAAGATCTTCCCCTGGTGAAGCTCTCGGACCTGAATCTCAACTCTTTCTATAAAATCACATCGGCTCGTAAGGTGAACACAAAATATGGAGTGAGTGTTTATCCATATATCCATCTATCAAACACTCAGGCCGTTTTCGTTAATAAAAGGTTAGCTAAATTCTTCGCAAAAAATGACGAAGTGTTCGAGAATTTCCAAAAATATATTGCAAAGGGGTCACCAACATTGCAATATTTGGGCGGAAAATATAACAATATACGCTTTCATCCTGATCCAGAGTTGAAGTTTGAAGACCAAATGAATTTCGATGTAATCAACGTTAGGCCAGAGATACAAGAGCTACCCGTCATCAAGTTATTTCAACAGCAGGGCAATTTCTTGTACACCATCACGGCGGCTTTCAAGGGTGAGACAAAATGGGGTGCGGCAACTGTTTTGCATCTATCAAACATTCACTCCATTTTCATGAATAATCGAGTAACCAAGTTCTTCCAAGATTATCCAAAAAAGTTTGAAAATTTTTGCAAACATATTGAAAATGGCTGTCCAACTTTCCTGCATACTGAGGATGGATCCAGTGGCCATGTCCAACCAGACCCCGATATTGTAGATGAAGATGATCGAGCTCTTTTCAACGAAATCAACGAAGAGATGCATCAACTTCCACTCACCAAATTCTCTGAACTAGTTGTGAACCATCGATACACCATAACTTCAGCTTGGAAAATCATGACAATGCATGGAATAAATGTAATATGCCATTTGGATGATAGTGCTGCAATTTTCTTGCCCAGGCGACTGTCCAAGTTTTTTATTGAAACCCCTAAGCACTTTGAAGACCTGCAGAATCAAATAAAGAAAAGTTCGCCAAAGTTGGAGTATTTGGGGGGCGAGTACCACAATATTCATTTTCACGAGGACTAAGGAAAAGGAAATGACATAATAACTCTTACATATAAGAAGAACCACATTTATTAAAAAAACAAAATGTACTTAAAAAACTTATGCCAATAAAGTATGCTAATGTAATCTGCCACTATTATTACTATTATTAGATTTAAAAAATACAATACAACAATCCCTATATTTTTACATCTAATCCAACACGCAAACACACACACACACACGCAAACACACACACGCACACACACACACACTCTCCGCACACCATAAACTACATAAACTACACAAACTACACCCTGTACACCATGCGTCCGTATCCAGCATAGTCGCGAATCGTCCTTTGGCGGTCCTCGCGAGGCACAAACCAATATCCTCTTCGCATGTGGGTGAGGATCAGCTCCGGTGATGCCGCGCACCGCTGCAAGCACACCCTTTTTCGAGGATCCAACACTTGCAGCCCCACAGCACCAACAATGTGCTCCCGGATTGCACCATCATTCGGCATGTGCTCAAACCACGTACGTGGGATGAACACATTTTCCCGGAATTCAATGTATCCGGGGACCTATAAAAAAAAGAGAACGTGAACAAAAGATAATGCTGTAATGAAAAAATGTAGTTTATCTTATCAAGAAGATGGTAACATCATACTTACATCCGAGTCAGCCAGTTCACCATCCGCTGTCATATAAAATAGCACATCCGGCTCCTCGTCCGCATCAAGCCCCACATTTGCCTCCGCAAAGTCTCTCCACCGATCAGAGGATTCGTACCAAGTTTGGAACTCTGCATCTTTCAAAAATACAAACGTCCCCTGAGTTTCCACCAATGTTCCTTTTATCTCGAATTCTAAGAACACGAACGGTGGCACTTTTTTTCTCAAATTGAGCACATGGCTACCGATCACGGCATGTATGGCGTCTTCCAGCTTCTCTGCCTCAACGAGGCTCACCCACTCACTTGGGCAAACGATTTTTTCTGAAAAATTCACGTAGCTCATTTTGGAGTCTCTCAATCACTTCAATACACAACGATTCACTATAAACTTGCTCACAGCTGAGAGTCTTAACGAAAAGTGACTCCAAAAATGAACAAATTTCTCTAAACATTGCAACCCCCCCACCAAAATGTACCAAGAGGCTGTTTTACAGGCTGAAGTATGTACACGGGGGGGTAGTTGAACTATCATCTGGTGGAAAAAGACAAATAACGGAAACATTTCATATAGATTCTTCTAGCATCATTCTATCCTGCTTGTGGAACCACAGATCCTCTTCTTGCAACCTCTCTCTTTTCCTCTAGGTCCCTTTTTTTATAGACACCAATTTCACCCCTGCAATGTCCAGAAGTGGTCGGGTTTCAAGAAAAAAAATTGTTGGTGGCACCCATAAGAGAAATATGACTTCCGACTCATTCGCATCTGAGAAATCTGTCCAGACTCAGAAAATGAATGACAGGATATATTGAAATTTTCCAGATGACCACTTTTCAAGTTCATAATATTATTTTATATGGATCATGGGAAAATTTTCCATAGGTCACGTGACATTTCTTCAACCAATCCCATAGATTTCCATCCTTATATATATTTTACGATTTGTCTCCTTTACCCATCAGTTGTTCAGTGATCTCACATACAACAGAAGATGGATAGAAAAAAGTGTTTAGATCTCTTGCACATCATTGATGATGCATATAATCTCATAAAAAAGCAGCGAAAAAGTGAAGAAATTCTGCGCTGGATTAAGTATATTAAATATAATACAAAATTGGTGAATCGTTTATTGGAAAGGAGTGTTCGGCAGGGTGAAAAGAAGCGACTTACAGCAACAGTAGCTCGTTTGAAAGGATTCGAAGCGTTATTCAAGAACTTGGAAGTAGTTGGAGGACAGTTGAATAGCAGAAGAAATCTACTTCAAAGAGTTCAGCGGGAGGAGTTGCAAAGTGTTTTCAATGAGCGAATGAGAACGGGTGTGATCATCAATCTTGAACACAAAAGTTTGTTGACATTTTCAGATGATGCGAGAAGAGTGCTCACTGTTCGATTACGGAATGCTTTGAAAAAACAAAAAGATTTAAAAGTGAATGTGGTACTGTGGTGTAAATATGAAACACGAAAAAACGATCAATTTCTTGAAGATGACAAATTTTTTAATACAAAAAATGAAATCATCCTCAGCTCAACTGACATTAGACAGTGGTTCGAAGAGTGTGTCAAAGAAAAACTTTTAGTGAAGGTGGATGAATTTCAAGAACGAGACTCTGGTTGGTCATTGAGTGAAATAATTAATGTTGAAGTGCATATTAATAAATATATCCCATTGAGAGGTGGTTCAAGCTATGTTGAGGTACCCTCGTGGATACAAAAAAAGCATGCAGTTGTCAACGTGCAGAATAAGGAGGACCTTTTCTGTTTTCTCTGGTCCATTATGGCCGCCCGTTGTGAGGTTGAGCACAAAGAGCGCCCGAACTCTTATCCATCCTTCAATACAGTGTTTAAGAATTATGGCATGTTCAATTACCCCATGGCGCTGAAAGACATTTCAAAGTTTGAAAAATTGAATGACATGTCAATTAACGTTTATGGAATCGACAGTGAAGAAGAATCAGGGAAAAAATGGATTGTGCCATTATTTTTAAGTCAGCATCCTGCCACAACGCTACAAGATGAGAGGCGAACAATTCACCTTCTCATGATTGAGAAAGAGGACAATGCTGGCTGTGGTGAAGAGAAAAAAATATTTCATTACACATGGATTTCCGATTTATCGCGTCTGCTGAGCACTCAAATTTCAAGAACCAAACGGTCTACCCTTTTATGTGCCCGGTGCTTATGTCATTTTTTTAAAAATCAAGCATATTTAAATCATAGGAAGGATTGTGTAACGATAAATAAGTGTCGCATGATTTTACCTAGAGATTCTGAAAAAATTATAAAGTTTCAAAATTTTAAACACCAATTGAGAGTTCCATATGTTGTATACGCTGATACAGAATGTTTACTAGAAAAAATACCCCAGAACAGTGATGATAATACAAAAATTTATCAAAAACCTATGCCATATAGTGTAGCATTTTACGTTAAGTGTAGTTACGATGATGCCAAATCAGAGTTATGTATTTATCGCGGGAAAGACTGCATTGAGTGGTTTATCGAACAATTGCGTCTCTTGGCTGTGAAAGTTGATGTTGAATTAAAACGGAATATGCCCATGAAGTTAACACCAGCGATGGAACGAGCCTATCTATTAGCCAAAAACTGTTACATCTGTGGTGGAATATTCACTGAAAAGGCT